ATATATATATATATATATATATATATATATATATACTGAACTAATAGAGAAATAATAAAATAAAACTAGCCTCTTTCACTTTCTGCCCTCTTTAAGTAGCACGACATCTTTACTAGCGTTTTTTCAATTAGAAAAAAGCGCTGATCAATATTCAATTGCGTATATGGATTTGATATGAAATCAATGTTTAGTATAGACATTAAAGCAACATTAACAGGTAATTTCTCAACTGCTGTAGAAATCGGTACCTAGAGATAAATATAAAAATGTGCATGCCCACAAAGATAACGAGCTGAAAAGGCTATTTAAAGTCAACAACCATCAAAAACTTTGAAAAAAAGGCTCCAAAAACTTACAACGACCATACAACCACAAAGAAGTACTCATAAAAAAAATATTTCCAACCTGATCTAAAGGGCAACAAGGGGAAGATATTGAAAGTAAGCAACTCCTACATAATGTATGACCACAAGACAAATTTACCGGCAGTTTCTCGATTGAGAACAACTGAAAAAAGTAATATTAACTTGAAAGAAAACCTTTTAAAACTTAACCTTACAGGATGGCTTATATCTCATAAAAAACTCAGAATATTTTCTCTCAATGTTAATAGAAAAAGAAGTAGGAAATCGTAGTTGACATAATCAACAGAAAGGTAAGAACCACAGAAAACTAAATCATTTAAAAAACTCACACGTGAACAAAGAGGACAACAGAGAACTTCCGACCATACTGCCCCCTGACCCGCAGGGGCCATGTTCTCCAATAGTTCAGCTACTACCCTTTCGCCTCTAGCAGTCGATGACACGAATAAAATCACGTCCTGCAAAAGAAAAAAATAGTAAAAAACCTTGCAACAAAAGTTACATCTTTTTAAACTAATTCACGCAACAAAAGTAAGACATCTATCCAAATATTGATCAAATAATTGGTCCCCTTCGCTTACATAACATTAAATAAATCAAATCTTTTCCTTCACAAAACCATGGGTGATCCTGACTGGAGCAGTTTAGCAAAGCTTATGAAAAATTAACCATAATCAACATATTAATAACGAGCAAATATCCCCTTCAAAACAAAAGTTCAACAGAATACAATTGAAAGAAAGTTAACAGATAAATGAATGAACAAATCCTTCCATTTCTCCCCTCTTCTTCTTCTCACCATTTCGCAATAAGAGCCTAATAAACCTTCAAATAACCGAGTCGAGTTACAAACTCAAAAAGACTACAACTCGATCACAACACAATGCTCCGACTGCAGTTAAAAACTCCTTTAAAATGTCGAACGATCACAAGCAAAGTCTCCTAAAAAACTCAAAACAAAATTACTGACCCAAAATAGACATTCTAAAGCCTTCTATAATTCTTGTAAAAAAAATATCCACCTACAGTATTTACCACCACATACAATGAATAAAACTGAATATCCATTTCAACCACAAACGACAACTTTCAGAGCAGCAAATAGATACTGTTATCTTTGGGCTTCCTAAACTGGAATGCTTTCGCAAATTACACAAAAACAATTGCTTAAAACAAAAAGCGTGCAGCTAAATACTCGTTCACTCAAAGACGTTTTTGTCTTAATGGATCTACAAAAAAAAAAAAAAAAAAAATCCCTGTAAAAAAGGCAAGAGAAGAGACTTGAATGAAAAAATCTTACTCTCCCACTCTACAACCAGCCAAAATCCAAATACCCATAACAATTTTCTTCAACTGCTTCAAAAGAAAATAAAATAAAGCAGAAACAACAAGTATCACATTGCAGGCAACTCATTAAAGGAATCAAAGCAAAATGCGACTTAAAGAACAAGTCAAAATTTGCCGTGTGATGATATGTAATCACCACTACTAATCAGCTCATCCCGAATAAGCATTTAATATTCACAAAAAACGAAAGAAATTTAATGTGCAATACTTCACACTCAGTACTCGTAACGATGCTACTAAATAAAAAATATGTTTAGTGAGGCTTTGTTGCAACCAAAAAGTAATACAACCACTACAATATTAAAAATTTTATTAAACTTCGTCTGCAAAATTTATAAAATGCTAGTTTGATAATTGGCAAAACATGCAAACTCATTTGCCAAGTTCCGTCGATGTGATGGAGAGAACGAGCACTGATGAGCTTTAAACAAACGTTCAACCTGAAACAACAAAAATGGTATTACGAACGAGTATACAGCGCATTATTCATAACTCAAACAAAGATAATTTTCCTTGAAAATGAAAGGCATTCAAAGATTAAAAAAAAGAA